ATGAACAATAAGTAACTTTGTAACTTTGACCAGGAATTATCTATGAACAGTGATTAACTCTGATGAGTAAGTATCAATGAACAATAAGTAACTTTGACCAGGAAGTATCTATGAACAGTAGGTATCAATGAGCAGTGAGTATCTATGATCACTTATAAACAATGACTTGCAACTTTTGGAACACAACACATTTCTGAGACTTGGTCGGCAGCAGTCACTTCGTTCCGGGGATGTTATAACTAGTTGGGAATCATAAGTACGGATGTGCAAGCTTTGTTTGGAACAATAAGCAAGCTATATGAATGAAACTATGGAGAAATTCTGCTATATAATTTTACTACTCTATAAGTCGGAGCATGGCGAATCGGTGGGCTATATATACATATATATATCTGCCATTGGAACGATTGGAAAATTTTAAGAAAAAAAATGATATCTTTTCCAGTTTTCAACAGATATTCATTTAATTTGGTATATATCCATTAAAAATATTAATATAGAATTTTATGTTAACTTTAATAAGTAAACTTTTACTTAATTAATGGTAGAACTTAACCTATCCTAATTTTAAAAAAAATTTTGTTGGAAAAATCGTAGCGTCCCACAAGAGTTTAACAATTACAATTCCGGTTTTTTCACAATTTCTTCAAAGCCACTCCACTTTTTTAATTAAAATTGCACATTATTCTCTGACACGCCATGAGAATTGCAAGCTAGAATGAATTTCCCTAATGAAACCTTAGGGATTGACTCACGTAAAATCGATTCTTGAATATATAAGAATATATAAAACGATTTCTAAAAACTTATCCCACTGTTCACAATTTTGCCTTCACAGCATTTTCGTTTTGAAAACAAACGAATTTGTCAAGATATTCCTTTCATTTTGCGCCACTCAAAGTGGAATATTAATTATACAAGCCATTAAATACTTTAAAGAGGTCCGGATGTTTTCTTGACAGAGCATATTTGTTGCTAATAGAACGCGGCCAATTTGTCACACTCACTTGAAGGAATCTGTGGACGATGAGCAGGAAAAGGTAGGCGAAGAGGACCAGGAATGCCACATGCGTCACCCTGGGCCGCAGGCAGTGGGAAAATTTTCGCATTTTCCAAGAAAACCGAGCCGAGCTGCACAACTTTCGTAGTAAAACTAAACCGGAGTACAGTGCGCATGCCTGCTGATGAACGACGCGGCTTCTTATCAGCTAGTTTCATTGATAAGATGCGCTATCGCACCTATTGATACGCACCTCAGGTAGCTCTCACTGAGTTTTTGGAGAGTTTGAGCCGCAAAAAATAGGTAACAAAAACAAATAGCACTCTCTTAGACAAATAATTCAGATAACAAGGTGAAATTGCTCAATATAGCAAGACTAACTGAAAGTTGATTGAAGCCAACAAATTGGTTATCAAATGTGGCAGGTCTTTAAGATACTTAAAATATAATACTACCGTTCAGATAACAACAAAATAAGTACTTTTGGAATTATATAGTTATGACATATAGAAGCTCTTTTAAATTATTGCAATCGTTAAAAGCAAACTTCGTCTTTGCAGCTGCACCTCTATACCTCATCCTTGGCCCGCATTCTGCCAGTAGCCAAATTATGTACAATTGATGATGCCACAAGAGTCCTAAATGAAATTAAATGCCACCAGCATAAAATCATGCTACCAGTAGCTGGCAAACTGATCCAGGAGCTGGCTAAAAGCCACCCTAAAACTGGGCACCCCGCCCCTATACATATATAAGTGCTTTGTTGTCATTTCTTTGAGAAGGATCACCTTTCGGGGGAGATTTTCGCACAAGGACACAGAGGGAAAAATCCCCCTGAGGAGCGTGAGAAAGAAATCTTGACTAATTACTATGCAAGCAACTGGTAGATATAGCCACCTTTATCACTTCAGTTCCCACACGGCAAGATCACGCATATTCAGGGGGTGACTTAACCCCAGAACCCTCCACCGGAATCCACGAGATTCCAAGCCAAAGAACTAAAGCGATCTCAGGGACATACATACCAGCATAAAAATTGAAATAAACATTTCCAATTCAATTCATTTCTTGAGCTGAACCCTCGTTTTTATTATATTGTTATGGGTCAAAGGCACGCACCCGGTTCTTGGCATTTCCAGAACCCAGTTTTCCCCCTCTCTGTCTCTCTCTCCCTCTCTCTCTCTCGCTCTGTCCAGGCACGCCTGCGTCATGCGAAAGTATTTTCAAAACTCTAAATGGTGGTTGATTTTCCCGGTTACATTTCATATAAAAGAGGGATCCGATCGGCATTGCAGCACAGTTCACATCCAAGTTTTATCGAGTGACGACAGATCGAGAAAGAGCTCAAAAATCGCTAAGCCGCCGCCAATTTGTGCGGCGGCCTCAGCCTTTAATTAAAGTTTGTTAATTAAAATCAATTTTGAGAAAGAACCTTCAAGCCACATGGATTTTTAAATTGAAGAAAAACTGTAAGTAATAAATAGTGGAAAATGCTGAACAAGAGCTAACGAAGTCTTGTTGTCCTTTTACAGGAAAACAGAAAGGAAGCAAGCTCAACTATATTTACTAAAGAGAAAATAAGACAATTATAAACTCGCTCCATTTCAAATTCAACAAGTTATTACATTTAAAAATCGATCAGTTCATCACACAAATAATTATCAAGGAATCCTGCACATGAATCCTTTACAAAAATTAGAACTGTATTCTAAAGGTTTCATAATTTATGTATAAACCAATACAGAACTCGACAAATCATTAGTAGAAAACCCGCATTACTTTCAACAAAACCACAATCTTCGGGGAACCAAGCCCATCAGAATAATAAAGAAAAGGATTCTCAAGGCTTAATGAATCATAAATAAACCATTACCACGAAATAAAGCAATGATGCACTGAATAATCCTAAATAAGAAAAGGATTCATTTATGAACACAAGCACCTGAAAACCTACAAAATTTTTGTAAAATTCACCAACAATGAAGAATACAAAGAGGAAACCTCACACTGAAGTTATTAAAAATATTTCCACAATTTTACAGAAATATTTCACCAAGCAAAAAGAAAAGAATTCTAAGATAATTCAACTCCCATTGACGACGTTGCACCGATCTACAAACCAACAAAAAAATGAATCTTCCAGAAAAAAATATAATAAGTTCTTAAAATGGAAATCAATCCAATTTTAGTTACAAATTTATTTGTGCCTTTTTTAGTTTCTATTTTAATTTCTTTATGCTGTTGATGTTTTTCTGTTAAACCGTTTTTTAAAAGCTATAAATTTGTTGGTCTAACAATATCCTTGACGAAGGTTTCCATTCTAAAATTGTAACTTCTAAATTAAAAAGAAGAAATGTCAGGAAAGTTTTTTCAATGTATATTGCCAATAGCAAGGCGTGTTTTTGTTACAAAATGATTGTTTTTAAGAAGATTACTCCCGAGCAATTATTTTCGTTACTTAATATCTATTTCATTTTTCAAAGCTCTTTATTTTCTTTAATTTATAGGTTTCATTTGTTTACTTTTACTTTACTAATTTTTATTTATTTCAATATTTACAATATGCTTTCCAGTTTATATTTCAAGTTTTAATTTCATTCTATAATTCTGTTTTAAAAAAACATTGTGAATTTATGATTTCGGAATTATTTTGTGAATTCGTTCGTTCGTTTATGATTTGGTAAGTCTTATTATTCATTTTCATTTTTATACTGATATATTTTCTTAATTATATTATAATTTTATAAAGTTTTGTATTTTATTTTTTTAGTATACAACATTTATTTTCATGTTTTTTATATTGGATTTGTTAATTACCTTTTTTATATTATATATTTTTTACCTATTTTTATATGTTTTTATATTGATTTATTTTATCAAATATTATTTAAAACTATTTTTTGATGTCTATTATTTCACATTTTTATTAGTTTGATATTTTGTTTTATTCATCATCATATTTATTTATTATTATTATTATTTTTTATTATAAATTATTCTTGCCTTTATTATTATTTTTTTTTTGTTTTTACTTTTCTTATATATTCAAAATGAATCATTTTTGTATAACGTTTGTAAACGTTTTATTTTGTTTGGTTTCATATATTTGAAGATTAATTTTTTATTCATATTGGTATTGTTTCACCAAACCCTTCTACCTACCCTTCTTTTTACTTATTTATTGAATTTAATTCATTTTTTTATTTACATAGTTATATTTTTTTCTTTCTTTTAATTTATAATTTTATACACTTTATATTAATGTTGTTTCCGTATTAGTTTGAATTATATTTATCATTTATTATATATTTATTTATTACTGTATGTCACTGTTTTTAGTACTTATAGCTATTTACTTCTCATAAGTTTATATTACTATTTGTTTATTTACTATTTATTCCAGTTGTTTATTTATTTTGTCGTGCAAATTATTTTACTTTACCGATTTTTTTAGTGTGTTTTGTATAATTCTAATTTAATATTTTATTTGAAATATTTTTGTTTGTTATATTAAACTTTGTTTGACTCATATGATTCATTTTTATTTATTTATTTTTATGTTTTTATTTATATATATTTTTTTATATTTATATTTTGGTATTTGTTTGTTTATTATTATCAATTATTAAATATAATGTTTCTGTTTTTATTTATTTATTTAATTTTTATACTCTTTGGTTTTGAATTCTTAGACAAATTTTATTTACTTAAATATTTTCGGTGCCTTTTAATGTTTAATTAAAATTTACTTTATTTCCTTTACAATTTTATCTATTAAGTTTATTTTCTTTTATTTGTTTACCAATGCTCAGGGTCTTACCAAGAAGAAAGTTTATTATAAATAATTATACAAATGAACTAAGTACTATAAAAATGTATGAGTTTATACTTAAGCATTTCAAACTTGAACAATAAAAAAACTATATAGTACTTCCAACTGAACCCTCTCACTTGTTTTTATTCTCTTTATTAATATTTTAATGAAATGAAAACTAATTAATTGAGAATCTTTGAAGTTTGTTTATTTGAGCAAAGCTGTGCCACACATAAATAGTTTCTTTGGAGACTTAGCTTACGAATTACACATAAATACGGAAGGTAGGTTACACTAAGCCCTGCCACGCCCACATGGGGACGACAGTTATCCCAGCCGCTGGAACTTCTAACGTTCCAGTTCCGGAACCGGAACCAACTTGGGTGCGAGTTCCATTTCCGTTTCCGGGACAAGGAATCACTGCTCCGCCGCCTTTCCGGTGCTTCCCTCGGCGGCTGTCTGTGCAGCTGGGACCGGCATGCTCTGACCACCAGAACCAACACCACTAATTCCACTACCACCATTGCCAGCTGGATTCGCCGTGTTCCCGGGTCCATCCGATGCGGCGTCCGAGTCCCGTTCGAGCAGATAGCTAACGCCTAGAGGACGTGGTCGGCCACCATAGGAAGAGCTACGAGGGGCGACAAGAGAGCAAGCCTATCTTAATGCCAAGACCGATTCTGAACTCGATTTCGTGTGGGATTATTAAGAGTGAATAAACTCTATATAGAAAAATATTCCTTTTACTTTAGAATAGCATTTTAATAGTACTTGAAAGGGATATAGTTTGGTTAAGTTTTTCATTAATTTTCTCTATCAAAAATGCCTTTCTAAAATTCTAGGAAAATTCTATCTGTTGTTGCTGTTGCAGGGGCAGCACCCACTGCAACTTACCTCTGTGCATCCCGCTCCCTGTCCCTGTCCCGTTCCCGCTCCCGACTACCGCCGCTGCCAGAGCCCCCGTTGCTACCGCTCCCAGAGCCACTGCTGCTGCTGCTGCTGCCACTCGAGCTGCTGCCTCCGCCGTTGTTTTTATCCTGATCCCCCAGATATGTCCAGCTGCCGGGGACACCATCGGAACCCATGACACTGGTGTGGCCACCAACACGGGAGCTATCGCTGCCAATGGCCGAGGACGTGACCTTGGAGCCGCCTCCAGAATAGGGACAATTACTGCCCAAGAGGCGGTTGCCACAGGGCGAGTTTAGCGAGGGAGAAGGTCGGCTGTAGGAGTAACCACCGCCATAGCCACGATTCCGGCCAGTATCGCTATCATCCTCGGCATCACCGGCAAAGTAATAACCCCGTCCCGAGTTATCGAAGCCCGATTGGCCTCTGAGTTGGCGGCAGAAAGCGGAAACGGAAGCGGCGGTTCAACGGGACGGATACGGAATGTTGAAATACCGGAAGTGAGTGAGTGCATTTGCAGTTGTTATTCGGGTGCAATTTTGGATTTGTTTTGTCGGCCATGTATTGATCGCAGTGTCCACAGTTGTTGTTGTTGTTGTTGTTGTGCGGTGTATTGTTCATGTTCATGTTGTTGTTCATGATGTTGGTGTAGTTGTAGTTGTAGTTTTTTTGGTGTTGTTGTATGAAAGTAGAGAGTAAAAAAGACAGAAACAACTCAGAGATAGAAAGCCAAAGATATGGAGAGACAGCTGACAACATATAGTTATAAATATATACACAGAAGCAAGTGCAACGATACCTGTAGGTCTCATCCCAAGGGCGGTAGTTGCGAAAATCATACCTGGAGTAATAACGATCATAGGGATCATAGCGATCATAGTTGCTTCTCGAGCGATCATAGTAGCGGTCTAACAATAATAGAAATCAAAGTTAATTTATATATATATTTTGCATATATTATTTATCATTACCTCTTGAGGAACCCTCGTTATATCGATCACCGTAGTATCTATCCCTCTCCCTGTTGTCATATCCATAACCACGATCACGATCATAGGCTCCCGAGCCTCCATAGGATCCTCGCCTGTAATCATCATAGCCACGTCCCTCATACCGATCGTAGGTCCTTGGGGAATAACGATCATCGTAGTAATTACGATAGCGGTCGTAATACCGATCGTAGTCACGATCACCACCTCGGCTGCTGCTCCGATCATCATATCCTGAATAGTACCAGGCACTGCTACGCATGTCATCTCCCGTGCGACTAGAGTATCCTCCATAATAACGATCACGATCACGATCCTCATAGCATCTCACACACCGTGACTGACGGCTCTTTCCCCGCAACACAGAGTCCAGAACTCCCACTCCGGCCGTGGCCAGCTGTTGATCCTTGGAGTTTGCACTCGAGGACCTGGCCTCCGGTCCTGTCACCGCTGCCCGTACACAAACGAGCAGGGCCAAGCAGGGTAGCTGGAAAGGGGGAAATAAATCGGAAAAGTTATGAAAGATAGTCCAAGAATAATTAGGTATTCTATAGAATACAAGACGCCACTTTAAAATACTTTCAAAAAGCCTTAAGTGCTTCATAATTGCAGCACCTAAAATCAATAATAAAATGCATAGATCTAAACCCATTATACAGCTTTCATTACAAATACTTTGCTTCGATCTATGTCACCGATAAAATACCATAGAATATTAATGTCGCCGCACTCAATTAAACGATTTATGATGGCGATACCCAACTCTCTATCCAGAGAACAGAGAAGCGATCGAGAGTGCGATCATCATTAGTTGATTGGCTTTAATTGCAGCTGAAGTGAATGAGTGGGCCTATTGCTAAGCCGGGAAATCAGCCAGCCAATACATATCTCATGGTTCAGCTACCAACTGGGCCAAAACAGAGCTCCATGGCAGGCAGCCTCCGATCGCAATTGGGGAGGGCACAAAGGCCTCAGCCACTCAGCCAGCCCCTTTTCCACAGATGAACATCGCAATAAAATGGACGACAAACACAACTGTGGCCAGTTGGCGTGAAATATGATCGGCTAAACCCCAGTGATTATGCAATGGGTTTTTGGCCAGGCCAGAAGAATGTACCGCACCCGATGGTGGTAGTATGTGTAGTAGCATTGACATCATTTCGAAGCCCCACTCAGGGCTGCATGAATCAGATTTTGGACTACGAATTGGAATCATAACTCCACTGGCATATATGGCTTATATATGGCTTATATATGGCATATATGGCCAGAATGGCCAGCCCCAGCAGAGTTAATCATGGAAAATATTTTGCTAGCCGGCCGCCACGCTTTGTTAGCCAAGCATCAGGAACAACTTCCGGCCAAATCGGTGGTGTTGGGTCTATAGCTTCTGGCTGTGGCTTGTCACTGACTCTGGCCAACTTCATTAGAATAATTATATTTCGAGCGAGTACCGTCGATTCGTCGTATGGGATTATAAATTGTTTCACTAACCGAGGGTCGTTGCCATCGAAAAATGAATGAATGGACTTTTGGTGAGTTCTTTACATTGGAAATTTGGTAGTACAAATTTACATAACATGATCGTAATATTTCGGGGGGTTGCATAATCCAGAATACAAAATGTTGCACAACACTTTTGGGGGTCACATTTCGTGGAAAGTTTGAAAGACAAAGGTGGAATGGGATTTTATATCCATTCATAATCTTTTATAATGTTTCAAAGGCTTTGTTTAAATGAATACAATAAGTGTCATATGCAGATTTATGTTCTTTCTTTGTAAGATTTTATTTTAATGTTTTAAGGGGTTCTTATTGTTACTTAATGCGGAAAATAAAGTAACCTAATAATATGGAAATTAAGTGTATCTCAGGATTTTTGTTAAAGAGTGTATTATTTTCGGTTCGCAGTTATTATAAGTTCTTTATAACTCACAAAAGTCATACATATTTTATTTTACTCATTAACTTATTATCATTATTTTATTATTTAGTATTTATATGGATAATACTAAAATAAAAGCTTAACTTTTCTTGTAGAAAACATTATTTTTTAACACAAACCATGAAAATAAAATGACATGGCTCTATGTGAAGTTTTTCCATTAGTTTTAGGAAACAAAATAATTTATTTTAATTTATTGTAATTAAAAGTTGTAAGGCATTTATAAAAGTTCTAAAAGAACTCTTTATCTTTTTACATAGATATTTAATAAGGATTCGTTCCAAAGAGTTATTTTAAAGTAATAAATAAAACTAATAAGTTGTAATAAGCAACGAATTAATAGTGTTTTAAATGTTATCCAAACGAATTTTATACAGAATTTGTCCTCTTTTAAAACCCTATTTCCTACTATTATTTATTTTGTTTTTAAGTACGTAAACTTTTCGTATATTATTAAAACTAATCTGGCTAATCGTTTTAAAAATATCCATCTATTAAGTCAATATCTTCTGATAATTATCTAAAGAAGCAATGCTTTTCCTGAGTCGAAAAACTCACCAACATGACAGCTCTCATGATGTCCCCGTTCCACTGGCTTCCACCGAATCGATTGATCAAATTTAACACCTGGCACACCTGGCGTTGTGCCTCTCTTCAAGTTCTAACCGCGGGGAATATATCCTTTTGAGCACTTTATCACAACGATTTGGAGGAGTCGAAGCTTCTCGGACTGGCGTCAGACCGCGAATGATCGGCTGGGAACAGAGGGCGCCGTATTTATTTGAACTCCAACCCGAGCCGGGTTTTCTGCCCCCGCCGAGAGCACTGAACCGCGATCCACCAGCACCACCGGATCATCGTGGCTATTATGGTGGAGGTGGTGCTGCTGTGCTTCGCTGGCATTCGTGGCTAAGGTGTTGGCACTCGGTTTTCAGTTTATTTTATTATTATTTTTTGTTTTTGTTTTTTTGGGGAACGGGACGTCGACGATTTGTCACCTGGCCTGCTCCGACCAACACCTTGGGGCGGGCTTCGCTCTCGTTTCACGGTCAGTTTGGCTTTCGGAGAATGACGGACAGGCAGACAGGAGGAGGATGTGGCCAGCGAACGCCTTGATTGTTTCGTCGAGACGCGGGGGCTAATTATTCCATCTATGATGGCGTAATGCCCCAAAGAACACTCCTGTGAAATTATCGCAGATTATTTGGTTCTTATACTGGGATGAGTCAGGGCAGGGCCCAGAGATTAGCATTTCCACTTCCAACTGGAACAGAAACAAAACACTTTTGGAGGGGGCGCTTACATAATCCACGACCGTGACCATGAAAAGGCTTTCCACCTGAAGACGTCTTGGGGAAATCTTTATGATGATGTAGTGGATACTCTTGGGGTAATGTTAAGTGATATATATTAAATATGGATTATAGTTAAGGGGGGATTTCCTACTTTTATTTAAAAGAATAGGAGATATATCATTGAATCTAATTAAGCCATAAACTGGTTCATTACCTATTTTAATCTTAATCCTTTACATTCTATTCTATGAATGTAAATACATTTTTTAACTTATAAATAAATCTTTACAGCTTTGTAATCTCCATAGGTTTCTGCTGATTGTTAATTAGGGAGAATAAGAATAAACTTATAACCTATATACCCTTTAAATATAATTACAATACCTTGATTCACACTCAAAAATAATTCTCAGCTGAAACCGTTACCTAAAAATTAACTTGTAAAACACATTTCCAAAGCATGACAAATTACCTTTTGCAGAAATAAATAAAACATAGATTCACGGTGAGTTAAAATCCCAGCTGAAAGATCACCTTCTTGGTCTTTATGCTCAGTGAACCCCACACAAAGGTCGTTGGCATCATCCATAAAAAACACCCAGGTATTACTCGTAAAACACAGAACCAGCCAACGAACAAAACACAAAAAACAAGCAGGCGACAAGTTTAATTAAACGATTTAATTTAGTTTTTACAAAGCGCTCAGGCCCAGTTTTGCCGCACAGATTCGATATGGTAAATATATATACTATATATACTATATAATTTCTTGGGCTCTGGAGATTGCATCTAGTTCGCTTCATGGAAGAACAATTGTGATGTGCGTGTGTACAGTGTGTGTTTTTGGGGGATCCTTGTTTCCGTTTCCGTTTCAGGGTCTGTGTGTGTGCGTGTGGCACTCTCGAAGGGCGCAACAAGATCAACAATTAAGCTAATTCAACGATATTGCTAAATACGAGTTATTGTCTCAAGTTGTACATACTTGTAAATGGCAAGTATATAGTTTTTCTGAGTGTGTGTTTAGACAGGTGTGAGCTAAGGGCAGTGATTATAAAAGATAATTATAAAAGGTTTTAAGAAATCTTATATGATATATAAAACAACAACCAAATATCACATTAATTTCATATATTCTATCTAAACAAAGAATGGAATTTACCAAGTATGTTAATAAAATAAATGTAGAAATAAGTTCTTAATGAATTATTTCACAATTTATCTTATAATTTTCTAACTAAATTCTCTTTAAATACTTTATTTGCTTGACTTGAAAATTGAATTTAAATTATATCACAAAATTAATAAAATATATTTAATAAATCACTGCCTTTGCTTTACACACTCACACTTTACACTTAAATATCCACCTTAGTTGGAGTAACCAACCTGAAGGATGTGCCAGTATCACGACTGCAACTTGGCCGCATTGGCAGCGGCTATGTCATCCCGGAAGGCCAGGAAACCAAGCTGCGCATGCGAGGCCTCATTCAGAGCTCGCGAACGTATGCAGGCCCTATACTGATCGGCAGTTAGTGTATTAGAACAGATCTGTCAAGTATATAAAGCTATATAATTAAACAAACTTTCAATATTATTGTAAACATTACTTTGGTATGCCAGCGATGAAAGATCCCCGGATCGGTGGCTCGTATAATCTTGATTTTGGAGCGTATATACTTGCGATAGAGCATCACATCCTCACCGCCCCAGCCCACAATTTCCTCCTCGTCAAAGCCTCGGACCTGCAGGAAGTTCGAACGATACTGGCATGTCATTCCATAGCCAAAGTCCCGCCAGAAGCCGGTGTCCCTTGAGATCACAAGCTGCTCTTCCTCGCCAGGCAAAGGTTTGCCCTGCAGCGTATAAACCACATGGGGATTATACAGACTAAATACCACAGGGTAATATACCTGGAAAAGTTATGATATACTATTAAATTATAATTTTTATTATTTAAATATTAAGCATTCTTCTACCTTCTTGCCTGGCGAGGCATTCCAGCGACATCGCTCCAGAAATCTGGTGGTAAACATAATGTCCACATCGCACATAAAAAGCAGAACATCCTCACCAGCTGGCTTTATGTGCTCCGCTCCCAGTCTTAAGGCTTTGGCTAGAGATAATTAATTTACTACAGATTAATAAATATTAGAAAATATAACTTTTCCCTGCTTACCCCTGCTAAAAGTCTCATTGAGGGCCAAGAACTGTGTCCTCTCTGATCTTCTAGCCATGCGCCTGGCCTGCTCCAGTCCCGTGACTCCAAAGTACACAACTATGAGCTCCAGTCGACGATCCTCCAGCTTGGCTAACATTTGCAGGAAGCTGCGAAAGCTGTGCAGGCGTCCAGCCAAGGGCAGTATCACATGGATCACTGGGGAATCCCCTCCATTCAGGGACAACTCCGATAGTTGTACAGTTTGCAGGGGAGCAAAGGGACGCATCACCAGAGCCCGACGCACAGGACTCGCCTGATGTTTGACACTCTGGAAATAGAGCTCATACTGAGTGCCCGTGGTGGGCTCTGTGCGATAGATGCCCTCGATGAAGTCATCCAGTGTGTACTTGATGACTCCTTGATCTCCGGAAGGAACCGCTCCACCCTTTGTCCGTATTCTGGCCGAGTGATTCCGATTAAGGCTCTCCAGGGCTTTATTCACCGCCTCGATGAGGTCGCGTCGCCGATAGCCAATCGGTTTCTCCACCACCCGCTTGCCCAAACCCAGGTCAATGGGATACACTCGGGTGAAGGTAAAGTGGTTGTAGGGAATCAGCTCGTACTCGTTGTTCAGCGGCAGACCGTGCAGGATTTCGGCGGCTCCAACCTGCTTCCGGATGTAGCTGCTGCAGTCGTAGTGATGCGACAGCGGGGAAGGAGACACGGTGGTCTCCTGCAGTTGCAGTTGCAGTTGCAGGCTGCCATTGCCTGTGGTTGGTGGCTTGGAAGCGCTGCTGCTGCGATTGTTGCTCTGCAGGAACAGGATCTGTGTGCGCAGCGAAAGGACCTCCTGCTTCAGACGTTCGATGGCCGCCTCGCGTTCGCTGAGGGCGTAACTGAAGCCGCTGGCCTCGCTGCTGGGGCTGTTCGGTTGCGTTTCCCGCGCTGTCAGCTCGTCGAAACCGCATTTCGTGAGCACCACAATGGAGGCGGCGGTCACCAAGGCGAATAGCAGCAGCAGACGCACCAGCAATTTGGACACCAGCGAGTTATGCATTTTCCATAGTCCTTTAAAGGAATATTTTCTGAAAAATCAGAGGATTTTAAATAGCCGTTAGAGAATTTCATTGGTATGGCAACTCTCTCTCTGTCTCTTATCAGGAAATGTACACACTGGTATGTTGGTGGTAAGCTACATTACACAACACTAGTAACTAAAGCGGATTGTTTTAAAATTTACACTTTGCATAATTTAATTGTTCCTTTTTTTAATAAATATTATACAGAAAATGCTCCTGATTAAAAATTACACTTTTCTATTGTCGTTATTATTCATATTTATATAAAAGAATTTGAAAATATCGATATATTCTACATGAGTATTCTATCCCAAAGGCGACAATTCTACCCCATTTTTCTGTAAGCGTGTAAAATTGTTATATACATGTGTAAGATGTAAAATGTTAAATATCACAACATTTTTGAAAACATCGAAACATGTTAAGAACGATAGTATCGATAAGGCTGATGTTTTGCCAGCACTAACTAGATCACACCGATCACAAATTAAAATTGAAAAAAGAAAATTTAGTGCTATTTGCAAGGCAGCTGTAGATTTCACCGGAAAACCCGAATTCCAAAGCATTATTCCATAGACCCATTGTCAAGGTGAGTACTCGTGGGTGGGGGCGGCCTCTTGGCCATGTAAACACAGTGCGTTGGCACTGTCGCTGCGGCAGCGGAGCAGAGCAACAAGTTCTTTTTCGCCCCGTTGGTGATGGCATTCCTCCAAATCGCGAGTGATTCATACGCCGAATAGATAAGGTGTGCTCCGTTTTGTTTTCTTTCCTTTTGTTTTCACAATCTACCCTTTTTCGGGGTGTGCGTGTGTGCGTGTGTGTAGCAGTTGCACTTGTAATTATTATATATAAAAACTAATAAATCGGCTAATACGTTTCCTTTATTCGATTCCCCAAACGCAGCAGCAGCACACTCTCACAATGGAGAACAACGAAGCCCCCACTCCCTCTGGATCCAATAACAACGAGTAAGTGCGATTGCCTCGATGGAAATCGAATCGAAGCAACAGGCTCAGCGCACGAAAAGCAAGGAAAAGCCCCTCAAGTGACGTCATGGGTCTTAATTAACCGAAACCGAACCGCAAAACCGGAAAGAAAGTCTAGCTAAGGCAGTTAAAACGACCTTTGGAATACCCTAGGAGTCATAGTATAAGTTAAAGTGAAGCTATATCGCTGGGGATGTCGTATTTAGATATTAAATCTATATCTTAGTAAAATATATACTAAAGATTTTAGAAAACTTTTTTAGGAAACAGTTGTTTTCCAATAGAAAAAGACTTGTTCATTAAAATTATAGAAAATAGTACAGAAAACAGCTGCTATCTTATAGATTATAGCAAGATACTATAGAATACAGATGTTTTTAAATCGATGAAGTAGAAAATGCTGAAGGATTATAGGACAATGTTATAATAATTTAATTTACATTAGAAAAAACCAATATATGTGCATTAAAACTGATCTATTTTGGTATTGTATACTGTACTAAGCTAGGGAAAAGCATATTTAAATTAACATAATCTCGTTTTGGGATAAAAATATAAGCATCCAACGTAAAAGATTATATTTCTAGACTGTTTAGACAAAATTTCTACCAGTAATCGTTCGCCTAATCCATGTTCCACTAGATAACTCTAGAAATAGGCACAATTAAGGTTCGATATTAACAAATCCCCATTAGTTTAACCTCAGGAATAGTAAGAAAGCAATGAAACAGACTTATGAAAATCTAAGACCCCCTATAAAGCTTATCAGAAATGCATATACTTAAGATAAGGCAAAGAAATGGCTTCGTTCACTGGCCAATCTCTAGATAAGAGACCCCGATGTCTAGCTAAAAAGTATCCCCCCGACATTCCTTGCTTTTCTACGCTGCAGCTCGATCCTGTTCATATTTGTAAGCTTCCCCCACAAAAACACATATAATATTGTACAGTTTTCCCATACTTCCGCCACCACCGAATGCTCACGACAATAACTACGAAAAATACGGGGACCATCACATCAGCAACAACAATGCAGCCAACAAGCGATTGCAGCAGACACAGGCCAAGGTGGACGAGGTGGTCGGCATCATGCGGGTGAATGTGGAGAAGGTGCTGGAGCGGGACCAGAAGCTGTCGGAGCTGGGCGAGCGTGCCGATCAGCTGGAACAGGGCGCATCCCAGTTCGAGCAGCAGGCCGGCAAGCTAAAGCGCAAGCAATGGTGGGCCAACATGAAGATGATGATCATCCTGGGCGTCATTGCCGTTGTGCTGCTCATCATAGTCCTGGGTAAGTCTGTGCTAAGGCTTTCGCTTTTAGGGCTTCTGTTTTTTTTTCTGGTGGCGGTATTAATGCCTTTACTCGATCTTGACAAATATCAGTTGTGTGTATTTAGGTGGCGGGTGTGGTATTTGGTATCTGGTAACGGGTAACTGGTAACTAAAGACACAAGTCGACGCCCTGCACGCCCTAATCTTGCTTAACCTGTGGTCTCAGCCTTCGCTAACTAATCTGCTTCCAATCTGTGGCCAAAACGGCGCCAACTAACCCAATAAGAGATACTACCAATCGTACTGATGACAAAACGTTGTGAATTTCTGTTTACTTGCAGTGTCGCTTTTCAATTGATACAATTAAGCCCTCTTACACACACAGAAAAGCAAATGCTATTCCGTTTTCCATACAGCAAAATTAAGGTTCAGATTTATCGTTAAGCACGGTATATGCGTGTGCCGGCCTACTCTACCATATACACACTAAATTGTATATTATATTATATAATATATATCTTAGGCTAAGAAACTCCAAACGTCGGAAAGGTAAAATTGTTGTTACTGTGTCTCTGTCCTAAGTGTGAATTATCATATTTGTTTAGTGTCTAAGGCGTGTGCAGATTAGAAACTCGTGTGTACCGATTGGGGGTCTCGGTTTCGTTTCTAAGAGAGTTTATAGCAAACAGTCTAAAGTTTAGAAATATGAAAAGGAAATATAGAATATATAAGTTTAAGCTTTGAACTATTTAAAGATTTTAGGTTGCGGAAACATCATCTTAACCACTTTAATCGTACTTATAATAGTTATATATTTTAAATAAATTAATATTCAGTTAAAGAACGTCTTTTAAACACTCTTCGCCTTCGTAAAACGATTTAAATAATTTACATGTGACTAAGATGATTTCTGTTACTAATGTTTTAAGGTAAAAGTTCGATTTTTAAGCGATAAGCTTAAAAATAATGAATCTCAATTTTGTTTTCTTTGACTTAGAGTAGAAATAATTGATTTTATCACAAGAAATCATAAGATTACACATTCAAAGCTCTTTAGTTAGTTGTAGGAAATATGTAAATACTGTACCAACCATAAATAACTTGTTGAATCGATTCTAAACTGCATCTAACATGTGTTCTCTCCCGTTCTAGTGTCGGTCTGGCCGTCCAGCAGTGGCAGCGTCAGTGGTGGAGGAGCTAAGGCCATCACCGAGGCCCCTCCGAATAAGCCTTAGAGGATATGGAACGGAAATGGACCAAACATCTATTCTGGGACGGGAACCCTTTCGCGCAAAACACACACACACACAGAGGAGGGAGGAAAAAATCAAAAGAAGATAAACTACTAAAATCGCGCCTAAAACATATATATATATTTAACCAGATTGTAATTATTAAAACTTAATGTTAAACCAAACCCAATTTATGTACGTATTGTAGCCGTGACCAGAGGTCCTCGCATATGTGTGTATGGATATATATACGATTTATATAGATACTTGTATGTCATGCAATTGAAAATACATCATGCCACCTACACTTTAACCGAGTCCAAGGAAATCCAATGGAGTTTTTTGCCCGAAACAATTCACAGAGCCAAGCCATTTATTTACATTCAGCGGCGACCACGGTTTAACTGCACCAACCAAAAGGAAAATAGTATCGATTTTCCGGCGAATCAAAATCGAGTCGCGTCACCCCGAGAAACTGACCCAACCAGACCAGGTGCGTGGCACTGAGCAACTGCCGCGCCAGGAGCAAAGGATGGCACTTTTTGCGTAAACATTTCGCACAGCTGTTTCGATAGTTCGCGCAGGCGCAGTCATTTCTCAAAGGGTCTTTTGGAGAAGAGCTTCAGAGTCCTTCAGAGAATTAGCTTGTAGTTCTGATACCATAGCTGGTTGATCTTCATGGAACGCTCTCTCTATTGGCCTCATAATACAAGTTAGATTTTCGAACCATGGAATAAAGTTACTAATTAGTTAATTGTTTGAATTCTTATATTTTTATTAAATGTTAGAGCTACTGTGAAAAATAAGGATAACATAGAGAAAGCTTATAGTACTAGGTGCCAGGTACATCGATTAGAAAATTTGGGTATTATTTCCAGTGTTGTTTATACAGCTGTAATTATTTTGGAATGTCTTAATTATTATTTATATATTTTGGTATAATTTAGGCTGTTAGATTATCATTTATATTCGGAGAATCCTCTAAACTTCCACAGAACTTTTAAAATATAAATATGTCATTCTTTTCTTTAATATTTATACCCTTGAGAGGTGTTTTGATTTTAATTAGAATTTTGCAACGCAATGAAGGAGACATTTCCGACCCTATATAGTATATATATTCCTGATCAACATCAACTGCTGAGCTGATCTAGCCATGCTCATCTGTCCGGTTAAATGCGAACTAGAAATTAAATTTTAAAGCTATCGGAGTGAATATATGCAGTTAGTCTTCTATATATTCTTACTTTTATTAATGTCCGTTCCATTCCGGATCGGACGACTATATCATATCGTTGTCACAGGAACGAATGGTAAATTTTAAGAAAAACAAGTTAAAGCTCTTTCCGTTTACAACATATTTTCTTCTTATTTGAGATATGGTTATTTTAAATAATTCCAGAATTTGGGTTTTAAATTTTATGAAAATCGGACTACTAAATCGTTAAATGTATAGGAAAATGTAAAACTATATATATATTATGTATAGATGAATGTAATGAAAGTAGGCATTACTTCGCTGTTTTTTAAAATATGTTAAATGTGTAATATTTTGATTGTTTAAAATATAAATAATCTAATTACATTCTGCGAAGGTATACAAACTGCGGTATGCCGACTTTAACTAAATTTCTTGTTTAAAGAAAATTTCGTAATATTAATATGCATACGCATGAATATTATTATTAAGCAAACAAAAAGATTCAAAAACTATTCGTTTATCCCAGGCAGGCATCGGCCTGGTTGAATTCAAAAGGCATCGATTATTGCTAGGGGTAGCATAGAAAAATGTAAATCAGAGTGGCATTGAATTCACCATTACGTTTGAACATTATTCTGGCCTATTCCTATTTTCCTCATATCCCACACAGAAGTTCGGAAAACCTACAGCAATCATGGATGAACGTCGTCAGAGAATGCAGGCGTACCGGCGAGCCCGCCGTAAGTTTGCATGCACCGCTTACATGCTGACCGTCATCTGGATGGTGTTGGCCCTCATCCAGTGGCTCGTGATTTCCATGATGTGAGTTTGGGGTTTTGGGGAGTAATGTTCGATATGCTATTGCCTTTGTCTGTTTTAGAGCGGATGCAAGAAAACTGTTTCTTGACCTGTACTGGATCAGTGTGATCTTCTTTGCACTGGCCATGATATTGCTGACTTTGTTTATCTTCATCGAGAAAATCCGATATATCATTGGTCTCAACTGGGTGTTTACCATTCTAATAGTGAGTTTCTTTTTAGTGCTTTATGTGTGTGTTTCCATGGATCCTTTCTAATCAATCTATTATCTGAAATCGCTCTTTACCAGGTTGAGTTCGTGATTATCGGACTTTTTGCCTTGGCGGCCAAAGCGCCATGGCCGGACCTAGTTTTGTGGTTCTTTATATGCGTGCTTATGCTCTTCATTTTTATCCTACTTGGATCAATTATACCGGTAAGAACTAAACCCTTTACTTAGGAATCTCTTTGTGTAAATGTGTGTCGTGCAGCATGACCTGACGCTGGACGTGGTGACCCTGTTCGTGTTGGCCTTCGTTTTCCTTGTGGCCACCATATATTTCATCATGATGCACGTTATACTCGGAATGCGGTACTCCTTTGTGGTTTTCCAAATCTTCATCAGCATTGTTGTGCTGCTGGTAAGGATTTGCATAAGTTCTATGAATCCGAAGAGCAATTAAAATTAAAATCCCATTCTGGCCCTAGTTCGTTATGTACCATGCCCAGACCATCAATGGCGGACGATTTGCTGAGATGCGGCTGAGCGATTTCCTGCTGGCCTCGCTTATACTCTTCCTGGACTTTATCATCCTGTTCCTGCTGACCTTCTATGCCCAGGTAATCTACCAAATCGCCAATCGTCAAAGCAGCACAACCACAGCCGCAACCAAATCCACAACGGCTGCAACTACCGCACCCACTCCCGAGGCAAGGTATATGAAATAGATATGTTCCAGACGCTGTTTGGGAAAACGCACTTCAATCTCGATATCGCATTTAAGACCTATTGAATGAAATTCAATTCAAAATTCGGAATGTTTTGAAAATTAAAATTTTTCGTTGTATGAATTAAGCTTCAAAAGCATCCAAATACTTCTTGTATTTCTTTTGGGGTGCATCATATTAACAGAAACCCAAAAGCCAAGATTAAAACGCATTTCGGGTGAGTGTAACTGGAGAACCTTTGAAACTTTAATCGGATTTCTTTGACTAAACATGGATAAATTTTGTAAACCGGATAGTAGTAGTAGCTGCTCAGTATCAGTTGATATCTTACAATAGGATATAGATTATATATATATATTATATACTCAACATTGATTGGTACTCTACGATTGGTTTTCATTATTGATTGATTGCACAGCAGCAATGGATGACTTACACTTCCGCCTCCCCAGGAGCACTTCCTCACATACCTATGTACATATTTATATGTACAAATAAGCTGAGATATAGTAGGAATCTAGGTTAAACTAGGACATTTTTTGGCTTATGATATTAATGGGTACATTCATTGAAAAAATATGATTTAACAAATACCAAACAAAAAAGGAAACTAACTTCGGAAAGGCGAAGTCTATATAGATAGATTGTTAGATTGATTTTAAAGGATCGGAAATGAGTACTTCACAAGCTAAGGAAGTTGAGGAAGTTTTACTACAGAAATAAATAATAATCCATTATTATTTTGGCTTAAATAAAATATTTAAGTATAGGAAGGCTTTGAAAATTTGCTCAAATAAGTTGATACATTCTACAAATATTAAGTAATATTATAAACCCCATTTCTAAACTTGTTACCAAATTCTATTCTTCCAAAAATCAAAGTTCTTCTGATCTTTAAATCCCCATTATTTTTGATAGCCACAAATCTCTAATATATAATATATATGTATCTGCAGAATAGTATTAACTTAAGATCTCAAGGACTAAAGCGATTCCATCGAGGAGGTTGCCGAGCAAATGGTTGCATCCGAGTCACTCTCCCTCTCGCGCTGCTCCTGCCCCATTCCTCGGGCGGAGAGCATGGGCTGTGAGTTGGGCGAGGCAAAGGACTCCAGCAACGGTGTGGCCAGCTCATCCAGGCTTCCCATCGGCGTGGGCGTGGGCGTGGGCGTGGCTCCGTCCCTGCTGAGTAGGCTGCTGTCCGTCGAGGAGGAGGAGAGGGAGTTGTGGGAGCGGGATTGTGATTGCGAGGAATACCGCTCCATTAGCAGCTGGCTAAAGGTCTTGGCCGGCCAATCCGGATCCTCTTCCGGTTGCTCCAAAGTGGGCGTGGCCAGGGGCGTGGGTAGGCGAAAAATGCTGCTGCTAAAGGAGGCACTGCTGGCCGCCAAGGTCTCGAGTGGCTCCAGGAATCGCTTGCCATGATACATGTTGCAGGTGGTGACTGGAGTCAGCAGGCTATCCACGGATACGGTGACATCTCTGCTAGCCAGGGGCAGAGGCAGGCTCAGGGGCAAAGGGGATTGGCTGGGAATCATGCCACACAGGGCAATGGGTCGGAATTGGTTAAGGGGAGGCGACTTGGAGGAGGAGAAGGACTGTGAGAGCGAGTGGGAGTGTGAGTGCGAGTGTGAGGCGGAGCTGCAGCTGCCACTGGGCGTGGACAGGGAGTGGGCATGAATGGGAGGGCATGAAGCGGGGGCAAGGACACTAAGGTTGCGGCACAGGGACAGCAATTCAGTTTCTAGAAATTAGAAAACAAGTCATGGAGATGGTTAGCAGGGATTCCCTCATATTCCAGTGGGACTCTTGAGGACCACCTAGCCACTAGCAATAGATCTAGAGGGACGACTACACTACCTGGGTTTCATACCTTCCGGCGACTCCTCGTTGTCCTCGCGAATGCTGGCCTGACCACCGGCAACTGCCTGTGTTTGCTGGGAATCTCGCACAGCACTGCGTCCATAAGAGTTGGTGGTACCAGTGCCAGCGTCCAGGGTGGTCTGCACCACCACGTCCATGTGCGAGTCCAGTGAGAATTGTTTGCCAGACATAAGGATGCCACGCACACGTCTCCTCATCGATGGTGATTCCTGATGCTGCAAAATCAAAGGTATAAGAGTCCGAGGGATCAAAGAATCCACTCACCGCTATCCGTACTCCAGCATAGGTCTTGGCCAGAAACTCATCTGCATCGAAGATGGCCGCAAAGGAACCATTGACCACCTTGGGCGAGAGCGGAGAATTCGAAAGCAACAAGCTCGAGCCGAAGGCTTCATTTTTCTCCTTGGTTTCTAGAGAAAAAGAAACATTTATTCATGTATTTTTAATATTAAAAATAATATAATAATTTATAAAAGTAGGTTTAAAAAATAAAAACAAATACAGAAACGAACAGAAATATATTCTCGAAGAAAACGATGCCAAGGTGGATCGAAGTGCATTAACAAACACAAAATATAAATAACACAAAATGGTAACGCAACATAGGAACGGAAACGGAAACGGAAGTAGGAGCAGGAGCTGAAGCAGAAGCGGAACCGGATGCTAGACGCAATAGGCCTTCCGTTTACCCTTGAGATACACGCGATTGGAAATGGTAATATTCATCTCCTCCAGCACCATGGAGGCCACCTGCCGTATCTCCATCCAATCCTTGACAATATCATCCAGTGTCGTGTGCGTCGAGGTGATGGTAAAGCGAATCACATACTGACCCTTCAGCGATGAGGGTATGCAATGCAGGTTACCGCGATGATTCAGACGCTTCAATAGCTTCTCGGTGATCTCGTTATCACCGCGTATGCGAAACACCACCAGTCCCAGATGCCGCTTGGCAGGCAGCTCAAACCGATGGTCGGCCAGGACCAAAGCCTCGAACTTCTGGGCCAGACGCACTCCCTCCCGGATGTGCCGCTGCAGACCCTTGATCCCGTACGACCGAAGGACGAACCACACTTTCAAAGCCCGAAAGCGACGGCTCAGTGGGATTTGCCAATGCATAAAATCCACAGCCACACCAGAGTTCTCATGCTGCAGGTACAATGGCTCCACATTGAAGGTCCTGTGCACCGCAGTGCTGTCCCGCACCCACAGAGCAGTGGCATCAAAGTGCACCATCAGCCACTTGGAGGGATTGAAGGCCATCGAGTCCGCCCGCTCAATGCCACGCAGCCAGGTGCGAAATTCCGGGCAGATGAAAGCGCTGCCCGCATAAGCGGCATCCACATGGAGCCACAGGTGGTGCTCCGAACAAACCAAACCGATCTGGAAGGGATATATAAATCAGTTGATACTATTCCAGCAAATAATTAGTATAAAAGCAAGTAGCTTATTGCTAATATTTGTGGTAATTACTCCCTGGACATTACCCACCTCTTCCAGGTTGTCAAAGCTACAGCTGCCGGTGGTGCCCAGTGTGGCGCAGACCTAAAAATAAATCACAAAAGGACACTTAACTGCTGACATGTATTAATTGGCTCCTGTGGGAAACGCTGCGAATTGAGAATGTCTCAAAGTCTCCGAATGTCTCCGGAGCTGGTCCAATTAACTTTGACAGAATGCCACTCACCCAGAAGGGGACCAGGCCCTGCTTAATGTCATCCTCGATGGCCTCGCGCAACAGTTTGCCGCGCATGGCCAGGTCCTCGTCCGCCTCGATATACCGCATCCTGACGAGTCCTAGAGAGAGAGAGAGAGAGAGAGAGAGTGTAGCTTAGACCATAAGCGGCTTAAACAATAAAAAGTACATGGGCAAGGACTCAAAGGAAATCTTATAGATCCCATTAGATTATTTTGTTAAAATAAATATAGTTAAAGGACAAAACCCACCAATCAAAGCCGCCTTTTCCACACTGGAATGCGCCTGATCCGAACAATAGGCCACCAGTCGGGCATTGATTTCCGCATCCTGATAACCAGGATGCCGCTCATGGAATCGCTGGATCGCTCGTGTGCGTCCCGCCAGCAGACACACCAACGTTGCCTCACTGGCCGTCGTCTGGAGTACACCGCCGCCCTGGCTATTGGGACTCAGATGAAGAAAGGCATCCGGCAAACCAATCATCTTGCCCAACCAATTCATCACAATGATCTCCAGCTCCGTGCAGGCCGGTGAGCTGGCCCAGGTGAAGCCCAAGCAATTGATGGCATCCGCCAGCATGTCACCCAGGAGCGAGGGCATCGAATTGAGGGCCGGGAAGTAGGCATGCATATGCGGCGATTGCCAGTGGGTGATGCCAGGCATAACAATCCGCTCCACATCCGCAAAGATCTTGGGCCAGGCCTCGCCCTCAATGGGTGCGGATTCGGGCAGAAGTTGACGCATATAGCCGGGACTCACATCCGGAAAGACACGACGCTCGCGTATATTCTCCAGATAGTCGGCTATATAGTCCACCATTTCTTTGCCTTTAAATTGATATAATATTAAATTAAAGTCTAAGTTTCTATGCAATCAATATATGTATATGGCTAATAGCTGGGCTTTTTCTAGAATTCAATTACTTGGCCATCAAACGAAGACAAACGGCTGGGACAAATCCTAGCCTCGGGTTTAATCAAATATACGCCCCGTTGGACGGGATTTCCGTCCGGCATTTACATACATGTCTGCCGCTGTGTTTATGGCTTTATGGCCCTTTATTATGGTCTTTGGACTTGGCTCAAAACTCACCCCGCTGGCGGTATTCCTCGAAGTCCATGCTGCAATCCGTTCCGCTTAACCCCTTTTGTTGCTGACGCAGATCCTGTGCAATTGTCGTACGCAATCAGTGTTTGTATCTCTTAACTGAATCGCTGTGAGTTTGGCCTAATCCCGTTTGGACTTTTGTCTCTCGCTTAGGCCAGCTCCATTTTTCGTGTGACTTTGGGCTAAATCGGAATGGCAATTGTGGAGGAGGAATGTCAACCGCTGACCGTTGGCACCACCAGGAAAAAATAAAAACAGAGCAACAGAGAAACAAAAGCGTTGAACAAATATATTGAAATAGTGATACACTTCCGATTTTGTGGGGCTTCTGGAAAAAAGAATGAAAAGCGCTTGGAAATACCGTCAGCTGTGAAAACACAGGGGTGGACCTAGGTGCTGGAAAAAGGGGTCTCTCTCACCCAATTAAGCCAGCGATAATATTTGTTCTATATAACTAAGGGGCTTTCGGGTTCGTGGCCTGCTTTTATAGGACCACAGAAATCAATTAGATACCATATGAAAATCCAATCCGATACGATTCCCTCGGTGGGATGTTGTGTCGACAAGTTGTCGGAACATGGAAATAAATGTCAATTAATCCACCTGCCCGGCACGATACCTGGGGGGCGGCGGCAAAGGGGATTTAGATCACAAACGATCCCCAACAAAATTCCATTTAAATTGTCAAAAACGCGCTCTCTGTTTAATTGTTTATGCTTGCTGACTCAGTCATAGCTCGATTATATATATTCTAAATACCGACAATTAAATATATATCTCGGCTGATCTGTGACTCGTGCAACTCAAATATTTCAACTGCATTTTGTCATGCATTTAGAACGAAGAAAAACATGAATGTTGATTGCATTTAATTGTTTATTACATTAAATGTTTAACCAATGTTGATAGTCCAAGAATTCCACACACAATGTTGCTGGCGATGGAGTTGTAGATTGAAATTTGTGGCCATAAATTCCAACAAATTAATGTTTTAATTATATTTAGAATCATCGGGCTAACATAGTTTTATAATTAAACGACATTTTAGAATTATATTGTATTTAAAGCTTAAGTAAAAATATTTGTTAAATATCTTTTATGGCCTTCAAAATCTTCAACACTAGCAAATTCTGATAAATTTTAAAGAGATATATTTATAATTTTGCACATTTAACCATCCCGGAAATTTTAAATTTTAATTAATCAATGTTTAGAACTTCTTGTTATTTTATTACCCAATTTAAACACACAAAATCACAATCGAAACAGAAGTCACCACGCACAGGACTCGACCCAGAGTCGAACTGAATGAAATCTGTGGCTGCCAGGATCTATTTATACTCGGCAACTGTTGCTTTGCTTCGGGCCAGTGGAAGGACATTTTCATCCAATGAAAATGCGATTAAACAGCAGGATGGCTATTTTCCTAATATGAGTGACAACAACAATCAGCTTAGCGGGAAAGCGTGGGAGCAGCAAAGATAATTTAGTTACCCTTCACGAACTTTAAATACTCTTCACAAATTAGGTTTTATTAAAACAAACCTAAGGCAAAATGGTAAAATACAAGAATAATATTAAATAATATATATACTATTTATAATAATATTTAAGCCATTGTTTAATTTGTTTTGTAGTATTTATAATTATATTAATATTCAGCTTCAACTTGTGCAATTATTTGAAGATCGAATCAAGCAGAAGAAGATGGGAAAATACAAGAATAATAATGAATAATATATATAATATATTTAATAATTAAATTTGTATTGTAGTATTTATAATTATATTAATATTCAGCTTCAACTTGTGCAATTATTTGAAGATCGAATCAAGCAGAAATCCAAAACCTTTACAAATAAGTTAAACGTTCTTCATCTTTAAAATAAGCATTAAATAATATACATAAATATTTTTAATTGGCAATTACTTTAAGCAAGCAATATAGAATTATAAGTTACGTGAATTATTTCATTTTTTCACGAAAATAATACTACATTAATCATACTAAAACTTTATGTAATTATTAACTATATTAATATAAATTACATTTTATAATCTTACTCCTTTTATTTCTATAACCTCTCGGTATCCTTTCCTCGTTTAAAAGAGTATTTAAAATCAGCAACAGGCTGTTGCCGACCAACAAAAAGGACACCGAACAGGACGAAGGAAGCGAGACAAAGAGAGACAATGAGAGAGGGAGGTTCAAGGAATGGCCAATGGCGTTGAGTGTCCTGTTTGTAGGCACCTAAACAGCTGACCAATCGCTGGCGGGCAAATCCAGGCAGGATCAACAGGCAGCCTCCTTTCCTGTTCGTCTCAAACAACTGTAAATACCACCATTTGACCAGATTAACAGCCATTTCCCAAGGGAAAATTCGAAGCGGACAGGAAGGCATAAAATCTGAAATAAAATCTGTAGTTAGTTGGAATTTTAACTTCGAAACGCCCCGAAATATCAGAGAAGCAAATCATTATTACACACTTGTTTGTTACAAGCCAAAGGGGTGGGGGTAGACAGACCCAGGAACCAGGGAAAACAGAGAAGGAGATAGAGAAAGAGAAACAGTGAGAGGGGTCAATGAGCTTTGTACTCGTCTCCGCGGAGACTCTGTAAATTTTCGACAAAATACCGCTACATTGAATGGCTTTTGCACGTCGCTTTTGTGTGTGTGTTTGTGTGTGTGTATGTGTATTACCAAATATTAAGCAATAAGAATAAGAATTTCAGTTTCTTTTGGCAGCAACAGTTACAAAGCGGCTTTTGTTCTGCTCCCCCTCTCGCTCTTTATTTGCATTCTTATTAAATTTGTGTCTATAAATACATTTTGTGTAAGCTTTTATTTAGCTGTAAGCAACAGATAAAAAAACGTTTCAAAAGTGCATGTGCATACGAAAAATTATAAAGAGCACTACAAAAACAGGGAAGAAAACAAGGAAAGATCCATTTCTCTTTGCTTTTTTTGTGGCTCACCTGTATGTGCTTTCTCTTAGAGCGATCGCTTAGGTTTTCTCGCTCTCTCTCTCTTTGTACTTTCTTTACTCCCCGTCTCTTTGACACTCTCTTATTCGCTCTGCCTGGGTTTTTTTCGTGTGTTTTGATTCCTTCATTCTTGAGCGCTAAGAACGTTCGTTGACCTCCGTTGCTGAGTGTTGGGGCCTCTGTTTCTTCTGCTGCTGCTGCTGCTGTCCGCTTAGCGGTACTTCTCAACCTGTTTTTCACCTCTCCCCGCTCTCTCTCTCAGCTTGAGTGTGTGTGTGTGTGTGTGTGTGTGTTTGCCGTAGAAGTCTTCCTGTTTACTCAGCGATTAAAGGTGCAACTGAGCAAGCTCCAATGACGGGCCCCAAAAAAATAAAAAGAGACAACAACAAGCACAAAAGATACAACAACGTCACGGGTTTCGGGTCTCTGACTCTTTCGAGTATGATTACAAATACGAGTACGATTGCGAGTATGAGTATGAGTTCGAATACTATGACTCTGGGGTTCCGAACTTTCGGACATAACATCCCATCTGTGATTCTCTGATGAAATGCACGCATGACTCCGCTCACGGCATGTGGTATTTGTATCTGTAAACTCTCAATACAGTTGTATTTCCATAAGACAAATCTTTTTGAGTAGTGTTTTAACAGACTCATGAAATATTATATCCCAATCTTGTGTGAATATCAAGATACAATTCTAAAGATCCTCTTATATTAATTATATACCAAAAAGGTACTGTTTATAATAATAAAATTAAATATTCATTTCATAATATATCATTTTATTTTAAATAATATCTAAGATAGTGTTTTAGATATATTATCTATATTTATACCCTTGCAGGGTATTATAATTTCAATCAGAAGCTTAAAACGCAGTGAAGAAACCATTTCCGACCTCATAAAGTATATATATTCTTGATCAGTATCAACAGCTGAGTCGATCTAGCTATTTCAGGTCAAAATTCATTTTTTTGAAAATTTGAAAATTTTATATCGTTAAAATTGTCAAAAATTGGCAAAAATGTTGAATTTTTTTATATTTTAATCTGAGTATGCAGATTTATTAGGCTAACAAAAACTAACATAACGCAGCTTTCCGAATTAAAATTACTGCTTTTTGGCTTAGTTATGAGTATTTTAAACTTTGATTTGTTGAACAATTTCAACTATCAAATATTTGTAACTAAGTTATAATTGATTTCTGATTCGATCTTATATTTAAATTTTTAACTGAAACTACTTATATTTCTAATACTTAAACAATTCTTCCTTAAGACACACATGGCGTATACGTAATTTAAGAGCTTTCACGTTAAGTATACGCCATGTATTCGAAATATATCTTAAGTCGAAAACTAATTTTGTTCCCCTTCAGGATATTGTATTTTAAGTCAGAAGCCTACAAAACAATGAAGGAGTCTTTTCCGACCCTATAGAGTATATATATTCTTGATCAGCATCAAGAGCTGAAACGATCTAGCTATCTCCGGACAAAATCAAGTTTTTCAAAATTTTGAAAAGTTTATAAGGGGTTACATCATTAAAATTGTCAAATTTTTACAAAAAAATGGAATCTTTAAAATTTTAAAAGTCAGTATGCAGATTTGTTAACCTAATAAAAACTAACATGGGTAGCTTTCCGAATTAAAATTAATGCATTTTTGGCTTAGTTATGATTAATTATTTCCTACGGAAATACGTTAAATTTATTTGGTCAAGGCGGTATAGTTTTTTAATATATAATTTTTGAAAACAATAATAAATATTTTTTAAATATATTTTGCACATTTGTAAGCCATATAGTTGGTGTTTTATTTAATTCTTGTTGCTCCATGATCACCTTTTAAAATTGGGTAAATCAATAATAATAATATGACTAATTTTTTCCAAAGACGATAAATAACTTCATCAATATCAAGCATAGTATAATATTCTTTTACGGTATTTTGATATATTGAATCTTTTGCTATATTTTAATATCTTTAGTATCTTTTGAAAACATTTTCGAACCTTTTAGCTTCTTTTGAAACTTATTCATACCTTTTAGTATCTTTAGGTATCTTTTGATTTCTTTGAAATTCCTTGGAGAATCTTTTGATATCGTTTTAGTATATTTTGATCTAATACACATCACAACATTTTCTTAAATTGTATTTCTATACCTTTAATCATAAAAAAAACCCCGATCTTTAATCTGGACACCCCAGTTCTCCTTAGTAAGACTCCACTGTTTTTTCTTCATATTTTCGGTTGCTGCGTGGATATTTTTGGGCAGTGATCACGCATTTAATTAGCAGGAATTCTTACAGGTGTGGTGGTGATGGTGGTATTGGTGTTGTGCGTGTGTGCTAACTTCTTGGAGCTCCTTTCTCCTTTCTCGGCTGAGCTTCTGTTTCGGTTTCAGCTGGTTTCTTTTATTCTTCTTATTACTTTTTTTTTTGCTCGCCTCCGCACAGGTTTCCCGGTTAGCGCCCGAGGATGATGATTCCACTTCCACCGCAGTTGAAGAAGAAGATGATGATCATGATCATGATCATGGGATGCAACGGGTCTTTCGACTCGGCCTCTCGCCATTTAGTGTGCAATCGATTGTCCCCACGTCCAGTCCAGTCCACACGGATTCCGGATCTCAGATTCCGATTCCGAATCTGATTCACAAGCTCTCCTTCCTGACCCGATCCGTTCCGAGCCGCTTCGTTCCGCTCGCCGGCGAGTGATCATCGCCATCGTCATCGTCATCGTCATCATCATCAACGTTCCCGTCACCGGCTAATTTCACCGTTTGAAAACTGTTTGAACTAATTCGCGGGTTCTGTGATCATGATCATGATCTGGTCGAGTAAAGAGTTCAAAGCCTTGACACTGCTCCAATGAGTTCGAGTGAGTGTGTGTGTGAATGAAAGTCATCCAGTCCATTGATGAGAGCCAAGAATCTGGAACTACCATGCCAAGCACCATTAGAGGTGAGTGCGAGGTGAAGGGATAACACTATATTGTAAAATATATATATAAAATAAATACTTCTAATGATATATGTAAAGGGAGGTATTAATGGTAGTAATTATATTGATATGTCAATTGGAAGATTATATCAGCAATTATTGGTACTATAACATATTTATTAAGTTGTTATTACCATATTGACATAGAACCCTAATTACTATTACTTATTTATAAAGTAGTTTATTATCATATTTACATATAATCTATTACTTTTAAAATAAATGTATCATGGATAAAATCATCAAATATGTATGATACAATTTTATTACGAATATTTAAATAATATTTATTATCTATTATTTATTATCTATTTATTTATTGTTGTATTAATAATATAACAATGATATTTGTTACTCAGTTTTTAATATTTCATTAAAAATAAGGAAGCGTTTTTATATTTGTTATATTTAGGATCTGAGTAAGTAAAGATGATAATTTATGTTTAGATGTTTTATTAATTAATTAATCTGCACTACTTTTGAGAGAAGAATATAAAATATAATATAAAAAATATAAATTGATCATCAATTACGTTTCAATTGTAGCATTTTCGATATAAGGTCAAACTTTGGTCAAATTAAAAACGTAATTGACTTGCCTTAATTTTTAAAACAAGACCAAAAGAGAATGCTAAAATAATAAGCTTAAACAAATATATGATCTTTGAATGTTATCTTGCAATATCAGAGTTTATTTGAACAATTTTTTATTTGATAAAAAAAGAACATATAAGCTAAAATACATTATTCATAAATGTTAAACCAAGCTTCGTGAAAGTTATAGTTCCAACACATTACATTTATAATATTATAAAATATGTTAAAAATATATTACTTATCCCTACATTGAGTTATCATTAAAATTCATAAAGAGACATATTTAAGTAATTTAATGATAGCTACAATATTTTCTACATTGTTTTCTTTATGAAACCAATTTGCCAAAGCTAATTTGAAGTTTCTCTGGGCCAACGTCAACCTTGCTTGGCTAAGACCAAACCGCCTAATGGAATCATTAGACAAAATAAAAATAATAATGAAAAAATAAACATTAATTGATTATAAAAAGGCAACGGCTTCTCAATAGCCGCGAAATAAATGGATGGGATATGCAGTCAAGCTGCAAGACATGCAATCCAAACGCAACGAAGCCGTCTTTTTGGTGGGGCCTAGCTGCTGGATTTCCGATTCTAGCCAAAAGTTTTTTACCATTTTACCACATCTTCAAGGCAGCACGGCACGGTACACAGAGAGAACAACAACGGCAATGGGCAAAATGTTGCCTCATCGACAGCGGGGCTGCAATAAACCAGTTGGAGGTTGGAAGTCGCAGCTAATCTTGCAACACAGTTGCGCAACAAAGAATCCGAGGCAACGGTACTAACGTGTTTTTCTTGGTGGCTATTGTGGCTACAAGTTCTTCTGTTCACCGATGTTCTTTTTTCTTTTTTTTTCGTTTTTTTTTTCTTCTCTGTTTTCTTGGCAATCAGCTTTGAGCCAGTTGCGTGTAACAGGTTTTTCCTCTTGAATAACTGGGACTTTCTTACGGGACTTTTTCGGAGAGTTTGTGCAGAAGAAAACAGGTTAGAATCGGCACAGACTTGCAATAGATGAGGCAACCAGCAGCCGCAAGAAGTTTACAACGGTGAGGCACACATTTTCACGTTCACGTTAGAACCAACGGTGTTTTAGCCAAGTTAGCTGCAAGTAGCTGGCAGAACCAGTTAGCTGCCTGATTGTCGTTGCGCAAGCGGCCAACAGGCAGGCAGGCAGCTCGAAAAGCACCACAAAATAAATCTAACATGATTTAAGCAACGGAAAAACATGAAATATTAATGCCAATGCTTGAATCTTGGCTACGAATCAGACATCAGAGGGCCCCTCTAATGATGGCCAATATCCGAGATCTGTTAGGTTTGGGCCCAGTTAGGCGATTAGTCCAAATTTGCGCTTACAAAGTTGGCCAATGCCCGACTTGTTCTCCCTTTTTTTTTTCTTGCCATATTCTCTTGGGGTCACTTCGCGTTCAGTTATGGAATGAATTATTGCGGTTATATAGCTGTTATTGGGTTTATTTTTTACAGATAAATTAAAGGGTTTTTTTATGGATAAAGCAGTGTAGGTTTTTAAAAAATTTCTGCAATTCATTTTTGGTTAATTTTTGTTACTGGAAACTTTTAAATAGTGAATATATGAAGACTGAAATTTAGTCTAAGCATTGGTAAAATATTATTTGTTATTTAAATTAAATTGAGCTTTAAATATTATTTACTAGTATATTTAATGGACTTTATTTGATGTTTTTAATATACGTTTATGTATTTGTACGTAGGTATAATTAAAAAGCATTTTTAAGCCTTTGTATCTGCTTTGAATATAAGTTTGCATATATATTTTAATATATGTATATGAGTAAATAATATCTTCATATTTATCTACATATTTATTTATGTATATATTAATAGAAACCCAAAGAAAATCTTTCCTTTAATAAATTAAGAATAGTTTAATAAATAAGAAATTTCCCCTGTAGTTTTCACTAATTTAAAAACTGCCGCCCTTTTTCCTATCCACCTCGAGTGTGCAGAAATTTCCTTTGTAGTGCTTTTCCCACCACAGTGGAAATTTCCCACAAAGGCAGGCACTCACACCCTGTCTCACCCTGGTGCTAAGGGTGGAAAAGCTGCGCAACATTGTACGCTTCCGATTTTCCGAGTTTCCCGAATCGTTGCCGAGTTTCCTCGTTCGCTCGCCTCACCCGTTGGCGGCATCGTCGGGCTGCCGCTTCCAGTTTTTCCTGGCTATGCACTTGGCATTATGCCTACTAACCCTATTTTCGCAGCAGTTCGCAGCGAGCCCCATTTTCCGAGTTGCATGCGGGGATACACACACACTTGTACTCTCCTTATTGCGATTTTCGCACAGAAAACTGAGTCGCAACCCCCACGAAACGGAAAGTTTGTGCAGCGCCACAACGTCGAACTGTGTTTGTGGCACTCGAATTTGGGACACATTCCTGTAAAGGACGCAGCTCCGGTCAGCTGCTGTTTTGCAGTTTTGTGCGAAACAGAAAAACGGAAAATAAAAACAAAATAAACAAAATACAAAGGAAAAAACGCGCGCGTTGGAAAAACTGCAGAATATTTGAAAGTGTGAAAAATCGAAATCAAAAAGTGACTTTAGGGGGAAATTAAATCAAAATAACATGTTGAATAAGGCTATCAAATTTTGTGTGTGTTTTGCATTTATCGATTTGCATGTGTGCCGCTGAAAAATCGATTATTAAAGCCAAAGCCCAGTGGCCACTTTCCACTCACTCACACAGCTGGTGGTTGTTGTTGTTGTTGTGATTGTGAGGTGGCATTTAGGGGTGGCGGTGGTTGCATAGAAGAGGGTTGCGTGCCGCAATGTGGGAAATCAACAGCAGTGGCAGCAGCAGCAGTAGCAGCAGCAGCAGCAGCAGGAGTAGCAACAGCAGCAGTGGCAGCCATAGAGGCAGGAGCATTAGCAGCGACACACTTCCAACTGTTTTGACGTCGTCGAGTTCCAATGGCGCTGCTTCCACCGAATGCTGCAGCGCAGCCTTGCAGCCATCCAGCGGCGACGCGTTGCATGTGCAGCAGCAACAGCAGCAACAACAGCAGCAACAGCAGCAGCAGCAGCAGCAGGATACGAAAGCGAGGATGACAACGACCACAAGCATCAAAGGACACAGATACAGAAACAGTCACAGTCACCGATACACAGCAACAATTGCTGCACAATAGCCCCACAACAGCAGCATATTGTGGCCAAGAAAAAAAACATAAACAAATATTAAGAACAAAAAACCAAAGACTATCAAATACCAAACGCATCAAATCTATTAATAAAAAACAGTTGAGTTCAGGACATGGCACAAAAGTTACGTTAAGTATACGACGCGTATTTCCAGCTGCAAAACGAACCAAAAACGAGCCCCGAAAACGAAACGAAACGAAACGCACAGGTGCATCTCACAAGACCACCTCCCCCGTGAAACCCCTAACCCCTGGTATCTACACCAATTGACAAGCAATCGAGAGGGAATCCAATGGAATTAACCAACAAATGAAAACATTCTTTAGTCTCGGCAATTTTTTAAGTGCACTTTCGTAAGGCTGATTTTGAATTTATTTCGATGTTGTGCTTCTACACCTCTCTATAACAAAAAATACACCAAAATAAATGCAAGCAATGAACCAAGTGAAAGTGAGCCGTGAGTGATTAGTGATTAAGCCAAGGCACAGATACCTAGCAGAAATCTACAAGATACTTTTGAATCTTTGCGAATATTGGTTAGGAAACGGCCGCCACAACGGATAGGCCAAGAGACCTCCTGCTGATCCAGCAGGCCAAGCCCGCGGGCAGTGGCAGCACCACCTCTAGCTCCTCCTCGGCCAGATCCACGTCATCTAGCACCACCACCACCACCTCGGGTGGTGGTCAGGTGTATATCGATACCGATGCTGCCACAGCGGCGGCGGTGGCCAATCTGCGCAGCAAGGTGCCTTCCATATCCATAATTCCGCTGCCTGCCAATACCACCATTGTGGCAAGGAGTAGTGGCTCCAGTGCTGCTCCTGCAGCCCTACCCCAGCTCATCCACACGGCAAGGAGTGTGTCCAACAAGTCCACGGGCACCTCCCCACCGCTGGCCTTCATCTCGGATGCGGGTGCGGGTGCGGGTTCAGGTGGAGCTGGAGCAGGAGGAGGAGCTCCTGCATTGGCCCTGCTGCAGCGACCCCAGCAGCAGCATCAGTACCAGCAGACGGACAAGTGTACGGTGCTCAAACTGCAGTCGGGACTGGGACCCAGCACCAGCACATACTTGCAGATTGAGCAGCAACTCAGCGAGCTGGAGGCTGCCGACGAGGAGGAGGAGAACATGGCCAGCCTGCTGGGCAGTGCGCCGCCAGCACAGATCCTGGCCAATCAGCCCATCATCGTGAAGATCGAACCAACACAGTCCTTTCACATTGTGGATGAGAGTGACACCAGGGTCCTCAGTCTGCCCCTGAGTGATGCAGACAAGTTGGGTGCCAGCTGGATAGATCTCAAGGATATAGCCGGACTGCAGGCCGGCGGAGGAGCCACCTTGCTGGATGTATGCTTTGAGCAGGCCAATGAGGATGGCACCATCATAGCCACCGTGCAGCCAGAGCTGGACACAGATCTGGAGGCAGAACTGGAGGCGGAAACCGATGCCATAGAGGAGGACGAGACTGAGCAGGAGCCACCGGCGCCCAAGAGGTTGGCCACCAGCAGGACACAGCCCCAGCAACAGCAGCAGCAGCAGCAGCAGCAACATAATAGACCACAGCAGCAACAGCAGCATCATCACCAGGTGAAGTTCCTCTCGGATCCACCGGCCTTGGCGCGCTCCAGCAGCTTTAGCAGTCTCAGCAGCTTCAGCAGCCTGAGCAACATCAGCTCTGTGTGCAAAAACATGGCCAGCAATGCGGGCAACACCAGCAGCAGCAGCGAGAGTCATACCAGCAACATCAGCGCCTTGGGCCAACTAAAGCGATCCAAGGATCGAACGCCGCCGCCCATGGCACCGCTCACCAATACACAGAAGCCTGCAGCCACAACCACAACATTAGCAATAGCAACAGCAGCAACAGCAGCAGCAACAGCAACAGCAACAGCAGCAACAGCAACAGCAGCAGCAGCAACAGGAACATCAAGCACGTCAGCAACATCAGCTGTTAGGGAGACAGGCAGCAGCAGCAGCAGCAGTCACCATGGCAACAGCAGCAGTGGCAGTGGCAGCAGCAATGGAGCTATGACAGGTAAATACCAATGAAATAGGCTTAAAACCAAGGCTATGCCAGCTAATCCAGGTTTAGGTATGGCTAAAAACCAGTTTAAGTCGAATTTATAAATTAATTTTTCGTTAGAAGAGATTACAGGAGTTTAGTAAGTGAATTTAAATTAAAATAATTCGGCATAAACTAGGGTTTATATTTTATATATAAGGTCTTGACTATTATCTTTCTTAATAAATTTCTAATTTTGTTGTCTTCATTAAAATACCAATATCTATTAAATATTGGGTTTATAATTTAACAATAAGAGAAGTTTAAGAGAATGGGAGCAACTGATTAGAAAACCAACAATTTTGAACTATATTTTATAAATACATATCCTTTAATATCCTTATTTATCTAGGTTATTCATACCTTTTTTGATTAAGATTTAATACAACATAAAGCAGATATTTCGTATTATTGAAACTAAGCTTTGTCTAGTCTTTAATATTTCCCAAAATGAACTTCATTTCATGAACATTTGTTTATGCAATCAACTCTAAAGATCCAAGAAACCCATCAGATATCTAGGCTTTGCCAGAAATCTTCAAGATCTCAAGTCAAGGATGCCCTGAGAGATGCCATAAAATTCTCCCCATCAAATTCCATGAGCCGCTGCATTCCACTTGTTGCCACTGCTGCAACCGCAGTGAGCACCACTCACCCAAAGCGACCGCCGGGTTGATCAGAGCTACGGCTCTGGTAATCACCTGGCACAGGTAACATAAACATGAAGCACACCCCACCCTCACTTCAATCCCCCTTCGCAAAAGAATTCGCATCCAAAGATATGCAAATGAACGCTTGCTGATTGCGCAAGCATCCCCGGGCGGTGGCGGCAATTAACAGCCTGACACATCAGCAACACATCTCGGCAACTCAAGACGGCAGCAACAGGTGTACTATGCACACACACACCCCATACTAAAACAACTAAAAGGCTAAAAAGAATTTTCAATTTACAAGCCTCGATTTATTGGCTATTCACCTTTGTGTGGCTGCAGCTACTCGGTACGGGGCAAGTGTCCCACTTTCCATAGTCAACAAACACACAGCAGCAGCAGCAGTAGCAGCAACAAAAACATGTTTTGACATACTAAATAAGCCGCTGCTAGGCTGCCTGCCTTTAGCTTTTGGCCAAGTCTAGCTGCTGTTCTTTACCATTAGGTTCTGTTAGCTGTTCTCTTCTCTTGCGATTCTTACGCTTTACTGGCAATACACAGCAAAACTGGCAGCAGCAACTACCACCGGCAACACCCAAGCCGTTCTTCTGCCGCTTGGCTCATATTTTTTTACCGTATCACGAACCTTAGCGGTAAAAACGTCAACTACAAACTATACAGTTAGCTGAATGAACGTCGGGGAAAGGTGGGAAAGGTGGTGGGTGCGATGGTAGAGGTGCGAGAGGGAGTGACGGAAGGCAGGCACTGAGAGCGAAACTCGGGCCTAAAACCTAACTGGCTAGCATAGAATTAACATTTATACACGGCAAAAAAATATATAAAAAAATTATAATTATATATAAATTATAATAAGAGATTCTTTGACTTTTCACACAAGCAAAGGTTAAATAGCTAAAGCCAAAATCTATCACATATCACATATATGAGATAGCTTTAGAGTTCTTTCTAACTATTTTCCCTACCAAATATCTCGTAATTTTATATTATTAATTAGTTACTTAAATTTTCCTCAGTGCATTCAGTCAAGCAGAGAGCTCATTTGTAGTCGCAGGGTATGGCTAAGCTGAAAAATTGATTTGGCAGCGCCTCGGGCCAGTGAGTTGATTCTGTTCTGTTCTGTTCTGTTCACTTGATGACTACAAATGAGTGTCAGTCACTGACACGACTTCTCTTTGGTCCCGAAGCCCTATAGTTTTGGCCAAGATTGATCTATATTTTATAGGGTTCCGTTGATATCTTAACGCTGGGGGCCCTCCCTTGTATCCACCGCGGCTCTACGGCTCATTAGCAGTTCGGGGCGGTGGCCAAAATGTCGTATTTTTAGCCCAATGATTGATGATCGATTTGAAGAATTGTTACCTAATTGCTAGTAGCCTCAAGAAGGGGAAATATCTATATATCACCCTTTCGATTTGGTAAGAGATTATCTGCTTTCTCAATACCAGAAGCTTATCGTTTTCTGCAAATGAGGCAGAAATATCAATGGAATTCTTGAGGATTTATGAAATAAAGAAATATGAAGCAAGACAAGAATATAAGAATATATTTAGTTTATAGCATCATATAAATTATTTTTAAATATTAGTTATATTTCACAAGCTTTTCTGACAATATATAAAGTGTTTACCTAAAGATTTAAAGCATAAAAACCGACTGAACTTGTTTCAGGATTAATTTTGTATTGCTTAATGATATATTTATAAAACTAATAAGCTTATTTATGAAATTCCTCTCAAATCGATTTAAAACTTCAACCAAATATATATAAAGATGGTGAAGTACCTTTAGCCGTCACGTGAAATTTTCAAAATGATTTAAATCGTTTTGCAAAAAAAAAACTCGTTTCGAGCCACCAAAGTAACCAACTAACTTGACTAACTAAGAGGGGAATGTATTCACCACAAGCGGATTTGACAATGATTAGCCCACATAATGTTAGTTGGCAAAAGTAACAAAAAAGAAGATGTAAAACCGACCAAAAAAACATAAAGGTTTTCTTCATCCGAACCTTTCTGCAGATGAGACGACCCTGAACGTGGTCGATGGACTTTGTCGCTGAATCTTCAGATGTCGCAAGCCAGATTACGAGATATATCTTTTGCCAGGCTCTTGGCACTATCACTTTTGCTATATATATTGGGGGTTTTATTGTTGTTATTTCCCATATGAATACGGGGAGCCCAGGCCCCGGGTTCATTATAATTTTTGGTTGGACAACGTTTTGCATTTCATGCATGAATCTGCCGTCGACTATTAGCCAGGTCAGCTCCACATGAGACTTTGTTTTTTATATATATATTATATCTTTTTCCTCTTCTTTTTTTCCAATCGAGCGTGGCAAAGTTTCATTATCATATTTTCGATTTTGGCCAAAAAAACAAAACTTCATCGATACTCTGCTGGGTCTGCGATGTCGTAACAAGCTCGGGTTCATTTTTTACTGGCACTCATCTATGCAAAATGCGAATTATGCTGCACACACATCCGTTCGCTTCGTATCTGTAAGATACAGAGCTAATGGTTTCAACGAAAATACATAAATTAACAAAAACGAAATATTAATTTATAACTCTAGCTCAGCTCAGTTTTTATTTTATTTTGTTTTTGCTCTTGTCTTTAGACATTTACATGGAAATTTACTTTTTTATTTTGATCTTTTTTAGTTATCGGTTTGCTTTTCATTTTGGCAAACTTCGAAAGCCAAATTGCCAAATGATTTAAACTAATTTTAACATTTTTATTTGGCCACCAAACTCCGTCTGCAGTTCACCTTGACTGTTTGGTTTTTTGCATTTTTGCAAGCAAAATGCTTTGAATATTTATAAAAATTAATAAATAAGATATATATGGCTGCGATATTTAACCCAATTTTATTTTGT